GGTCCCTGCCGGAAATTAGAATAACGCGAGCGACGAGAGAGAGACAAGCTGCAGCAGCAGCAGCATCCTCCCTCGGGCGAACCGTTCGTATCATCGTAGAAATGCACGTCCAACCGCATCCATTTGTTATGACTGGTAACATTTCTCAATTTTGGTTGTCGAAAAATTACACGGCCTTTACCGGAAGCACATTCTCGATAAATTGTACAATGTTAAAATAATCATTGCATTTAAAAAATGCAATAAATTTGTAAGTACTTTGTTTTATCAATTTACTTTAGAACGCGTTATAATTCATCGTAAAAAAAATTGGTTGAGTACTTTAATTCGGCGAACTAGATTGGCCGGTAACAATTTATTAAAGGTGCTCCATATTTTTAGGCGGGACGTACAGTTACAATTTGTTATAGAAATTGTTTAATCATGATGAATCGTGCACGCGGGTGGCGCGGCACTGCGCAATATATTTTCATTCGTTGCACTCCAGTCGAAATGTGGAGAACCCGTATTTTCGTTTTTCCAAATAATGAAACCGAAAAGTGGAAACGTACATGTTACGAAGCGTAACGTCCACCGTTCGAAGTCCACGTCGGATAAAACGAAAAAATCAAATGTCGTATAAAAAAAAATTAGCTCCGTTACGTGCGTGCCACGATGCTGGTCGACCAGATTTTCGCCTGCTGTGCGCTCGCATTCCCCGCGAATTGTCGAAAATACCTCCGACGGATGGGAACGACGACGTAATTTCATTTCGCGTCAAATCTATCGGTCCTTTCGTCCATTCACTTCGACCTGCCGGCGTTCGCGCTCTACGGGGTGGTCCGCCGCTGCCGGATGTCCTTTCATCACGCAACCGCGGGATAAAGTTAGGATAATGATAGATTCGCTCGCAACCTCGGGCCGCGTGCAGTTACGAAACAATTTAATGTTGAAAATTGAAACGCATTAGGCTTCAAGAATATAAATAAATCAGAAATAAATAGATAAAATTTAATATATCGAAGACAAAATATATAGAATGTAAATAGATCGTGTAATTAAAAATATAAAGATTATAGTTTACCGTTCAATTTTTACGAAAAGTCGTCTTCGAACACATTTTCATAATTTACAAATAAATACCGAGTGACTTTGAGACACCCTGTATAACCGCTGCAAAGTTTATCGGTGGGTACAGTTCCGAAAACTCATTTTCACCGTGGTCGTAACGCTTCGTTAACGGTAACGTTCGAACTCTACAGGGTGTTCGTTTCATGATGGTCCTTTTTATTCTCCAAATGGCCGTAGGACAAGAGTTTTTTTCAACTTCAATACAATACCTTCAAATGGACATTTCCATTTTGCCCTAAATTATTTCATCTTTAGAAATGAAAAGAGAGCTATTTCGACTAGAAGAACGATTATACGTTCTTGCGTGAATTCAAAAGAATATACGAAACTACGTTCAGCCGTGCGGTTGTAAAATGTGTCGAGCATTTAACGAACGATCAGAGTTTCAGACGCCAGCAAATTTTCCTGTCGCGCACTTCGAAGCATGAAACAAGTAGATATCACCCTCGGATAAAAGAGCCAAACAACTCGTTTAAAGAACTAAACAAGTTCGAATCTTCGATGCAGTTGTAAAACACGTGAAATACTTATCTCTTGCATTTTTCTTGTTTGTCAGTTGAAACTGTGCTTGCTTTCTTCGCGCTAGGAGAGTTTCAGATATATATATATATATTGCGACTTCATGTGCTTTTGTTGTTCGTGTTTCAGGTCCACCCGGTGAACCAGGTCCACCCGGAAAGAGGGGCAAGAAAGGAAAGAAGGGCGATCCCGGGGAGCCCGGTGCGCCGGTGAGTACCTCCGTGCCTTCGGTGCGCATCGGTATCGCAAGCGGCACGCCGTACACATATATTATCTTATATATACCCTCCGGTAGAGTAGAGAGTGCACAGATACGTCGCACGTGCAGTTGTGTGTGCGAGTATGTTTATTAGGGAGTGCAGCGACTTCGCATGCATGAAGTAGTAGTTAACGGTACGCGTTTTACCCCTCCCCCCTGCCCTTCACTGGACTCGAGACTGACGGCGAGTACACGTGGTGACTAAGCGTAAGCACGCGCATCCCGCGGGACACGCGCGCGCGAAGAAAATTTGAAGGCACAGTCCCGCAAATACGGTCTAAACCGCGAGCTTTAAGAGACAAGTTGAGATTTTATATCAATCACGATACACGTGCTTCGAAAGCTCCATTCATCGTCGGAAGCTGCTCGACTAATTAAATTCGGAACTTTATTTCGTTTGTCTTTTGAGAAAGTGAAAATTTATTAGATTGTTTTCGCGGATATGTCTTCGATTAAATTAGCGTTTTGAAGGATGCTAATTACGTTAAACCAAACGCGAAACTCGTATATTTGTGGCGTAACAAACTTATTTATTGCAATTAACGTTTTCGCGATTCTTTTCTCTCGCAAAGAAATATATCGCTGTCGAATGACTCGGCGATTAAAATATGAAGTAACAGTGTAGTGTTGTTGCCAATAGAAAAAGAGAAATTGATATTAATTCAACAAACTTAGTTACGCCATGCCGTAATTAATCACTAACAAAGTTATACGTGTACATTTTTTTTTGTATTTTAATATTGTTAAAAAAACTCGAAACTGATTTTAATTTCGTATTTACTTATACGCATTTTTCAATATACGTATATTTACTTTATAATTATACCGCATTAAATCGCTCGTGTAATTAAATTCCGAAAAGCTAATAACAGACATAAATATGAATTAGGGCCGAGTCATTACCTGTCGAACGATAATAGCGATCTTAATTATCGGCTTGGAAATTTTGTACCTATTGCAACGAGCGGATTCTCGTCGGTTACCAGCGTCGTGGGTGTTCCAGAAGCGTGCGATCGGATTTCCCTCGCGATTAGTGATCGAACGAGCGCATCGTCGCGTAATCAAAGATCAAATCGACGGGACACCGGGCGGTGGGGGAAAGACAGATCGGCGCGCTCGCGTGTGTGTGTGCGCGCGCGCGCGCGCGCGCGTGCTTATACGCCCGTGGAATATCTAATTGGCCGGAATAATTATTGGCGACGGCAGTGTGTACGAGGTCCTTACGACCGACAAACCCGTCGTATGTATACGCGAACCGGAGACCGATAATATCGCGGGCACGATCGGCCGGCCCGCAAAATAATCGCTTTTGCATGCGCGCGAGTGAGTACCCCTTCGAGTAATCCCCCTCACTCCCCTCCTGTGCCTCTCGTGTAAACGAGTTTTTAATTTTTTATACCCCTTCTTACAGGGTGTGGCCGGGACGCCGGGCAAGAACGGTTTTCCGGTATATTATTTTTTATTTTCTTTCCACTCCTTCTCTCGCTTCTATCTTACTACGTATGCTGTTTGTCTCACATCCTCACGCATTTCTTCTACTTGTCTGTCATATCTTTCTCACTGTCATGTACTTGAACACAACGACTCTCACCACATCGAACATAACAGTCATCAAGTGCTATTAATTACGTATCACGTAGCCGCTGATGTGCGATTTTTGCTCATTTGACCTGCTTCATCCGCGTGCTATCTCTCGATGTGGACTCTTCTTCTGACTCTTGATACAGCTGTTCACTTGTTAACTTTTTTTTTTGCTGTATACCAAGCGCGATCGATACGCGCGGATCGAAGCGCGAAATCGAACTCTAGCATTTTCACTTCCAACTGCGCGATGCATCGCGCATCGCTTCGATGACTGACGGTGCAGCTGTATACGTTTGCAAACGGATTAATTGCATTCTCCACTTGTCGCGTATACTTCCCATTTTAATTGTTTGCAATCTTGAATCACCTACCAGCATTGATTTACTTAAAAGTGTCACGTTATCATTCCGAGGCAGTTTTAATTGCCAAATAAAATCTCGCGTAAGCAACTTTTTTTACAAAATTTTTTCATAAAATTTAATATCCCGAATAACAATGAAAGAAAAAATTTGTTTAATACAATTTGGATTACATCGTAGAAAATTGGATTGAACGCTGTCTTGCGAAATTGGAAAAATGCTGTCTTTTTTAATTTAGATTTATGTAATTACAAAAATAATTGGATGCGAAATGTAAAATAGCCGACATTTGGCTGTCGAATTTGGTTAACAACTGCAACAACGATATTCAAAGAAATTCTCAATAAAATGGCACGACGACGAGTTGTCAATTTCGGAATGACCTGGCCATCAAATATGAAAGTTGCCCCGTCAATATCGAAGCTGCGCGAAATGAAAAATTCACCGTGTGCCGAAATAAAGTTTCTATCAGCGCTTCCTCGCGATTCTCAGTTGCGAGCAAGCGTACATCGGGAGGATCATGCGAATGCACTTTTATCGTACCTGGAAGCATAACGAACTCATCACGAATTCTGGTTTGTCGCGCTCGCCCGTGTTTATTACATGTTACATACACAAGGAATGATATTTCCAAGGGCGCGCTCAGCCCGCACGCAATTTTTCACTTTTCTTCGTTCGTCGTTACGGACGCCTGAGAGCGACGAGTAGCACTGACTGGCCGGTGTTCTTTCAGGGACCCATCGGCTTGGACGGACCCAAAGGTGATCCGGTAAGTTCGCTACATAATTTACATTTTTTTCTCAATCCGCCGCGACGCCCACGAGGGAAATTAATCGCGTCGTAAAAACGCGAGACAAGATATTTTATTCGCAGCGTTTAACATTATGAATGACGTTATTTAATAGTATAATGCTTATGGGCGTGAGGGAATTTAATTATAATGTATCTCCGCGCGCACAGCGGCGAGAAAACCTGTTTCGCCGAAATTTATGCTTACGCGAGGTGTCATCATAATAAATTTAATTTTAGGTTTTATTGTGGCCGAATACGTCGGCCGCTGTTGTTGATTCGTGAAATTTTTATTTCGCAAAGTCGATCGGTGCGAAAACAAAAATTGGAATTTCTAAAACAGCCAGCCTGGCGATAAATGCGAGATATCTCTTAAATTCTTTATTTGATCGAACTGTCAATATCGGCCGTTCGCTTACATATTTCAATTGATACGTACAAAATTATATGCATTATCTCAATTTTCTTCTGCCCTAATTGCACAAATGTGAAACGAGGTCGCGCAAGACATTTCGGGAGCATCTGCCTGTTACATTATTCTCAGTTACCGAGTCGGGAATTTATTTAAATCGCATATCAGTTCGTTCGGTTTTAATTAAACAGGCGCTTTTCTGAAATACAGTCACGTGTCACGGGTGACGTGAATCGCTTCGGAAATGATGATCAAGATTCAAAAGCGTACATTGAAATGACAGATGTAAAGATAATGAGATAAAAGAGAGAGAAAGAAAGAGAGAGAGAGAGAGAGAGAGAAATCTTGGTATCGAGTTTCCGTCAAAGGCAGCTGTTCCCGAAAGAGCGAAACTTTTCCAGTCTACTTCTCGGATTTTGGTAGAAATCAGAATAAGTTATTTAGTTGATATTTCGAGTATACGACTCGATCACACAAATTTGAACACAAGAACCGGAAACACAGTGAAGTATTAATCGACCCGAAAACTTGTTTCGTCTTGTCACTTTTTTTTTGCTCCCCTTTTGTTTGCAACAGCTGACATATGCTCTACGAATTAGCCGCAAAAATGTAGGATGATCAATCATAGGGGCGATTCAGTCGGTATCGTATCCCACGGTACGCTATCGAGCTCGGTTTTTGACGTGCGCGGTTCAAACGCAGGCCATGTGAGTGAAAACGTATCGAAGTTGGAAATCAAATGAAATGTTATGGGTATTCAACGCAGATGTTTTATTTGTATCTAAAAAGTATTTACACAGATCCCTGCAAAAAAACGCAACTAGTCGAGAAAATCATTATTTTGATAGTGCGTAAATTGATTGAATCGAGTACCCTTTATAGTGCTTCAATATTCACGATACGTATCATCAATCAACACATCAATCGAAATTAAAGTGTATTAAATTTGCAACGTGGCCTGCGATCTTGCAAACATTGATCTTTTTAATTACAGAAAAACTTTACACAGACTTGTTAATGAAAAAGATTCCCGAGTAAATTAAGTGAAGCTAATTCCACATCTATGAATATATTACGTAGCAAAAGAACGTCGTTGTAAAAAGAATTTTATGAAATCGACGCTATTGCGCTAATATTGCAGTAAATCACATCGCGGGTTAATGAATCGTAGTGAGTTACCTGCGGCGTTCGCAAATAAAAAAGGGTGGCTTTTCGGTGAAATGGGAGAAAAATTTATTAGAATTTAGTATAAGAATTTATTGTATCCTTTAATTTGCGAGCACTCTCGGCAGCTCGATTTATCACGATTTATTAAGACAACTCCGCGCACTTGGTCGCGGTTGTAATAGCGGCGGTCGAATCGGATCGGAAGACGAATCGGATTTTAAATTGAAGATTTGCTCGCTCACTTGCACTCACTTACTCTATTAACTCCGCTGTTCGTCTGGAAGCGGTTACTCGTCCGCGCTCAATCGCTATATTTTCTCCGGGACGCGGTCTTTTAACTCCGGTCCGATTCATCGCTCGGACCTATTCATCAACTGCCCCGCTATTACGCGCTATCCTCTTTTCTCGCGGAACGGGCTGTCGCGATCGTCGTATATCGATGTCGGGACGACGGATACGAAGTCGCAGACACATCGCGCCACATCGTCGTCACCGTTTCATTTTGCTTATCATCCATAAATTATAATAGTCATACATGGATAATGGCGAAGAGATGTCTGTTCGAGGAAGCGGACGCGGATCGCGCAAACACGTAGGATACGAATATCGAAGCGACACGAGTTCGGATATCATATTCCGTATTTCTCATTCACTGTCTCGTTCTTATTATTGTCTCTGACGTGTTTAGTTATTACGCATGCAAAGACGACTGCTCGAGCGAGACGTCGGTTGCGCTTTCCAAGTTCTCGCAAATGACGAATCTCTGTATGTACTCGCAAATATACCTATATGACGAGAACTATCGTCGCGAATACGCGAATTCACATACGACATATTATGATCCAAGTTGCGCGATCTATTCGCTTGTGATTCGCCCTAGCATAAATGGGAGGATCCTTGCGCGAAGCTCCGTGATTAAGCGACGTAGGTCCTAGCACATGCGTGACTCTCGATTATACCAAGTCCTCGTCAACACGCAAAGTCTTTTTGCATGACAGGCCCTTGCATACGCGTTGGTGGTCCTTTGTGGCCGTCTAGTTTGCCTTACGGTAGAACAGCCTCTGTCTATGTACATATATATACACGTACGATACACGCCGGTATACGACGGCGTGTCGCGTATATGCGTTCGATGCACAGGATGTCGCAGAATTACTGCTATTTTCTCCCAACTACAGACGTTACGTGATTAATTAAGAAGCTTGACGACACGTTAATAAGTGCTTTTGAGATGCAAGCAACTAGATAATGAAATATTGTCTCTTGCTCCGTTTCAAATGAATTTTAATTCAATTGTAGCAATTGTAGCGAGTAATTCGAAATGCGTAACGAGGTACATTGCGTTTAAAAATATATATCATATTTATACGTGAAATATGAGAGAGATACCGATGTCCAATAAAATCTTCACGGCAAACTTATCGATTTTGTGTCGAGAAAAATATTCACAGAATAGCGATAGTTCGTTCGTAGACACCCTGTATGCTTAAGTGTCTGACAGACCGAGGAGAATATACATGAAAATGTATTGCGTGATAGGACGAGGTCTCGGTGGCGGTAAGGCACAAACGACAGAGCAAACAGATAGCGGGAGAATGTGTCCAAGAGGAAGAGAACGTGGCGCGAGGGAAAGGCAGGAACGGTGAAAAAGAGAGAGATGGATGAGGGCGGGGAGGGCGGGTTGGAGAAGAGCAATAAGTGCATTGCAAATATCGCGAGATATTTGTTCTGTCGATGGTCGGGAAGAAAAGGACCCGAACGATCGACTCCTTCCACCGTGCTCCTCTCTTTGCCCCGACCGGCGTTTCTTTAAACGAGTGCGGCAAACGAGTGTGTACACAGTCGCCGGCGACCGACGCCCGGACACAGAAACGGTCGGTCGGTCGCTGTTTCCGAGATTCGAATAACGAATCTGGCGTTTATATCGGATTTCGTGCAAATAGTCGCAGCGCAAGTTACAGCGGAAGCTTCGCAATTTGCCTCGGGATCGCGGAGTTTACTCTACGCCACTCGGGCGGAGTGAGAAAGGGACGAAAGGGAGGCGGCAAGATTCCGCACAAACACACGCTTTATCTCCTTTGAAATTCACGATCGCGTTTTCACGAAATATTTAGACCGCAATTTTAACCCTCACTGAGAATCGTAATCGGACCGATCTACGTGTGTGTACTCACAATTTTTGCGAAATGAAGTTTTACGCGGGCTTGCGTTCTCTTTATCAAAAAATATTGTCAGACGGTATTCTACACATACAACAATATATTCTTCGTACATTAATACAGTGGAAGAGGTAAATCTGAATAAACCGCTTATAGCGAAATAGGAATGATTCAGCTTTTCTGTCTCAGGATTTTCTCGAGTGCGGCAATTATAGATTCAAATCTGACTTAAGCGTAATATTCTATTGCAGTAAAAAATATGCGATTCAATTTAAACGCGCTATCTTTCTAATTCTCCTCTTGTTCTGTATTCTGATTTATCTAATAATTTTATTTGTGCTCATTTTTTAATATTTGTTATGAAAACAACGGAAAATGTAATTGAAATTATTTTCGAATACATAAATTGTATTGAATGTTCATATCTATTGAGTTAACATTGTTATAATTATAGTAATTATATTACACACGAGAATAATTAAGAATTAATCATGCATATTATTAAAAATAACTATAATGGTGAAAATATGAACATTTACATGTATCTAACTTTTCTGTAGACTTTAGAAATGGAAAATTGTTGGAAAGAAGATCTCATTTACTTTAATAGTAGAAAATTAGTGGAATTTTCTAAACTTTTTGAACTCTACATCATCGTTTTACGCGATAGTACGAAATTGCAGGTGAAATCTTCCCTCGTTAAAATCTTACATTTAACTGATTTAGGAATCACTAAAATCACCATAAAATAAGGAATTATATTTAAGAATACGAGAAAATTTTTATCTGTGTTTCCGAGTTTCGTAATTGACATACGAATTAAAGTTAATACAAATCGTGAGAGACGTTTACGTTTACAAAGAAGCGGCGCGCTTGTTCTGTTCATCGTGTCGTCGTTATTACTGTATGTAATACACATCATCTCTTTTGTTCGCAGGGCCGACCCGGCGACAAAGGGCAGAAGGGTGAGCTGGGCAGCCCCGGATTTGACGTCTTGTCCGCAGTGAAGGTATCTAAGCCACGCTATCTTGGCGGGAGTAAAGCAATATCCGTCGGCGCACTCGTAACGCGAAAATGCGTGCCGCGCTCTCTCATTTCTCACCCTTGTACCTCCGTCGTCGTCGCCCTTCAGACAGCAATCTCGTAAAGCTCCGTGTGTACTACGAAAGCACGTTGGACGCGCGGAGTGGAGAGGCGAGAAGAATACGGGGATAAATTCTGAAGGACGGCGAGAAGAGGAGAGCGCGGCGGCAGGAGAGTGGAACGATATTTTCATCGCGCGCGCGCGCGCGCGTAAAGCTGCAAATCCCACTTTACGTGGTAAAAGTGCACTCGAGCGGGAACGTTATTAACGCCTTCTCGATCGCCGTCAAGCATCAAAGGACCGGCGATTAATCGAATAAATTACACGGATTTCGAGATTTCAACCCGGAAGAATTTCAAATATCGGGGGCGAGGAAATTAATGTCACGCGCAGAAAGCTCCTCTCGGCGCGATTCGGGTCAAAGGGGAGGGCTTCTTATGTACAAATCCTTCGGGAAATTATATAATCCTGGACGATCTAATTCGCCTCCGCGTTTATTCGCGATAATTAAATTTCGACTCGCAAAGGCGAAATTTGTAAAATCGTCAAGTGCTTGAAATAACATTTCGCGCTAGCGATCCTGCTCCGCGCTGCGAGAATCCAGTTTTATGTAACGTCGTTATTGAGGACGAGAACGAACGCTTCATTCCGCTCGAGCGCACTTGCACACGTCGATCGCGCGCTATTTCTTTCCCGAAGCTGGACGATAAGAGGACACTTCCTCCTGTCGCCTCGTCATTGGCTCGAGAACCCAGCTGTCTTCGTCCTGGAAACCAAACGGCAATTCTATTGAGGAACGCCGACGCGTGCAGGACGTATCCGCCCGTGCACATGAATATGCATACTGTTTGTGTCTAGACCGAAATCACTGAAGCTCTGCGTTCTCGATCCAAGCGCAACAAGCGCATCCGATCGATGCGCTCGCTGCGCACCGACGAGCAGATCATGCACGCACGGAGTCCGTGTGCGACGGAATTCAGAGACGATCGATGAGCGAAAATCGTCTCGGTTATTTGTGACGTACAAAAATCGTAAATAATTGGAAATTACAAAATTTGTTTGGTATTCGAACTGTTTGAAATGTTTTAATTTCTTGGAAACAAAAGTAGCCAGTAATATTAATAATTGAGAGAAACTATATGAAAAAAAAAGAAACTTTACGGGTTGAGTGAAAGTAACGGCGAGGTGGAAATCATCCTCCGCGGAGAAGATTTGCGCCAGCTGTTGCGAAGTTCGTCTACGACGCTTCGCACGTCGAATGACAGACAGCGAGCACCGAACGATCCGTCAAAATGCTGACGGCGATCGTAAAAACGAAGGTGAAATCGCCTTCGCCGATCTGGACGAGTTGCGAGAAACGCGTCGGTTTCTCACGCGCGCGCACGGACTCCGGAGAAGGAATTTCACGCGATCTCCATTCCGCGCTCGACGCATCGACCGAGCCAGCCACAGCCACACGACATCGTAAGCACGAGAGTAAATAAATATATCTTGCCTTTTTCGCCTACGGGTCAATGCACAGGGATTGGGGTTAAAGAGGTCGGTGACGACGCTCCGCGGCGGGACGCTTGGCTACGCGGAAATCGTCGCCCTCAAGGTAAACCGGCCTCCTCCTCCTCGGAAGGCGCGACACACTTCACAGTGTCGCGATCCGGACGGACGTCCTCCACACACTCCTCCCCTCTGTTTCCCGTCGTCGCTCCTTATCGTCGCCATCGTCATTTACCATCGTCGTCGTCGCTTCTTCTCTTCTTCTTTTCATTCCCCGCCCGCCACTATCCGCCTCCCCCCTGTTGTACACCACCTGTCTGTCAGTTTTGTAGCCCCCCCTCCCCCCCGCGTGCGGGAATCCGCGCGTCGTCGCGTACATCCCCGGGATGCGCGACAGGCCGGATTTCGTCCCAGTCGTTCTCTAGCTAGTCGTTGCCTCGTGCGGTGCTTTCGGTGTAGCGTTCTCTCGTTGGTTTATACGAAGCGAAGCGCGATGTCGATGCCCGATCGGGTTCTTCTTTACGTATCGCAATTTTACCGACACATAATTGTGCATCAGACAATTGTGATCGAACGATAAATTAAATTAAAGAGATCGAATGACAAATGAATTAAGAACGAACGGTCATCGATGACGCGCTTTCTCACTTTGGTTTTTGGTTGGTAATGGTGTTTACTTTAAGTTACAGTATTTAGGTATATCTCTGGGCATGCCTTGGATTCGGAAGAGCAGTGAGATACGAGAACCCACCCTCTCCCCTGTCCCGGAAAAAAAAAGCCCGCCCCCGAAACGCTTCCCGCCCGAAACTGAAAAAGACTCTACCCATAAACTCTGTTTTTGTCTTGTAGCGATTTGGTTTTTTACCCGTAGTGTTGACCTACTTTTAGGAACTTCAGGAGAAAGGGGTTAATATCTCAGCGCAGAACATCATACCACTGAAAGTAAGTGCGCCTGCTCTTCGGGAGCCCCTATTTCCTTCCTCTATCGTCGACTCCTCGAGGATTGGTGCTCGGTTCGAAAATTTCGCGACACATCAACGAACACGACGAAATGAAACGATCGGCTTGCGGAAAATAAAATAAATTTTTCAAATCTTTTTATAGCATTTATATTATCAATCTCACGCTATCGTTATTCAAGATATTTCCGCAAGTGTTGTACGTTCACTGAAAGTATTTATTATTTTTGAGATATATTTCGCTACGCGTTAAATCACGAAGAAAAGAATATCGCAAATTATCTCGAATATTTTTGTAACTAATGTTTCACTCATTGATACATTTCCGAGCATTTATACATATCTCAAGGCATCCTAAATCTGTTGGCGAAAGTAGAAAACGCGCCGCTGAAACGAAGTGTCTTGTGCGGCAAAGAAGTCGCAAAAGTTTTCTCACCTCGGCGGAATCCCAGGGCGATTTAATTCCCCCTTTCTCCGAGATTGCGAACTTATTTCTCGCCGCGACAACCCGGAGTCCGGGGACGTTTATTTATCGGTCGGGCGACGGAGTCGAGCGCGCGCCGCGCTCGTCCCTTTAACCGCGTAGCAGTTTCTTTTATCGTTCGTATTTCGACGCGGCACCACACCGAGCACCGTTCACTCGACGCGAAACGAACGCGGCGAGAGCACGGCGGTAGGAGAGAGAGCTACGAGCTTGTTGTACCACGTACTCGGGAAGAACACACAGCGATCGTGTCGAATCAACCCCGCCGTGCTCACGCCGTATCGACATTCGTGAGATTCGCCAGACCCTATAACACACCCTTTTACTTTACGGTTCGATATCTCTTCCGTTCTTTCGCCATTTTCCTCTCTCTTTCTCTCTTTCTGTGTATCGGGGTCGTGTACCGCGTTACCGCGCGCGTATGCCATCTTCAGCAACGATTGTCCCGACACCGTGAAAGCAGACCGCCCGGAAAGCCGCGGGAAAAGATCGCCGTCTCTCGCGGTATCTGCTCGGGCGAATGCAAATCCCCCTCGCGTAAAGCAAATACAACCTCTTGGCTTGCTGTTGCCGCTTGTCGGTGTCGAATTCGTATTCCTCGAAAGATCGGAGACGTCGGAGTGCCAGCAGCACGCGATACCCTATACTCTTTCAGAGTGTAAGATGGAACCGGTTCCTCACCTCGCGCACGTTTCGTACATCCGTTCCGTGCTGGCGCTTTGACTCGGCACGGCATCCACGGAGTCAAGCGCCGTTTGGATTTCAAAGAGTATCGCCTCGTCGTTTGAAAGACGTCACCTTATCAAATTCTGAAGCCCGATGGTTTCTAAAATTACAGTTCCACGATGTGGAAATTTTCAGAGTTAAGTTTGTAGACGGATGTTGCAGTGAAGGAATTTTTAACTTCAATTTTGAGATGAAAGAAAATTCGCGTTTAAATTTTGTAAACTTGAATTTTAAATATTGCGTGATATTTTTGCAATGTAAATGTACTGAAAATTCGGTCCGCGGTATTCATGATAAATCTTTGTGATAATATCGAGTCGCGAATTTTTATTCTAATAATATATTCACGGCGGCAATGTTTGAAATAACAAACATAAAAAAATTTAGACTCGAATTTTGCTTGAATTTTTTATATCGCGGCAAAAATAAAAACGTTCGAAAGCGTATCAAGATTTTTTGAATAAATCTTCACGGTGCTTGAATTTTGCATTCATCGTAACACACGTACAAGGTGTCAATACTAAAAAAATATGTATGACTGGAAAATACAAAATTCACGAAGGCCTCTGCGAGAGGGAATTTCGCGCGAGAAGCGCGGATTACGTGGTCGCGTAGCCGCGAAAAAATCCCAACGGGAACGTGCGCGAGGGAGGGAAAAAAAAATGCGACGGCCGCGCGCGATGCCGGCGCACATAAGGCGTGAGTAAAAAATGCACGACCCCGCCCCGCACCCGTCCCGCATGCCGATGCGAAATCGCACGCGTCCCTACAACACCGGGCGCGTGCGTGCGTTGCATGATACTACTTTGCCAGCCATCTGCAGTCTATCCTATTTTCTGTGGCATATAGTGCAATGTGTATACCCGCCCCTTGCGCGCGTATGTGTTTACCCGCAGGATGAATGCGCGGGCGATTTATGTGCGTAGGTGTATCCGTAGAATTCGCCTGCGATCGTATCGCAATCGCATGATCGCACGATGATGGTGTATTGATGTAGCTGTCGGGAATGAATGAGTAACTGCTGATTCCGCCGATGGGCGCTGGTCAACCGGAACCCGAACACTCAAACGTTAGCCGTGACATAATTCTCACGATAATTCTGCTATCAAATTATGTGGAGGACATGGATTAGAAAATTTATTACAGCTGATTGCACCAAAATTGATGAGTGTTTGAGATAGGAAAAAAAAATTGCTAGTGATATTGTGAAAGAATTGCAATCGCATCGATAATTATAACAAATGTTTCATATTAAGTTATTACGCTTTGCTATAGCGCAATATCGATATAAAATCCAACCTTTGCGTTCATATGACGCACAATACAGATGTGTTTTTTATTATATTTTTATTTCGCTCTCAGCACCTCTCATATTTATTCTACAGTATTGATTTGCTGTTAATTCGCCAGGTTTTTAATTATATCGCATGCACTTTTTTCCGGTGAGCGTATCTTTATTTCATTTTAAAAATGACGCTGCTAAAAAGAGCCGATCTATTTGAATGATATCGCGAATTTTTAAAATACGTGATTACAAGCACCATCACTTTCGGAGATATCAGTGTGTTACGATATGTTTGTACGAGCATACACAAATGGCGTATGCCTGCCGCAATGGCAGCGATAATGCAAAAGGGTAGCGCAAATAATGAGGGGTCATGAATTACGATAGCGCGGCTCCCGAGTACCGTAGGGTTAGCCATAATGAGCTAAATTTCCTTTCTCTATCCACATTACAGTGGAATTACGATCGAGTCGATAATGAGATGCTAACCGCAGTTAATTACGTTGTTAGACAACCCTATTATGTTTAAGTATTAACATAGAGTAGGTGCGAGGAATTTGTCGTTTTTACACTCTCTCTCTTGTTCCACCCACTTATTCTGTGCACACAAAGATGAAGATAAACGATAAATTAAATTGAAACTCAAGTATTTATTCAGCCGTGAACAAAAGAGGCAAAGCGCTGATCGAATTACTTAATAATTATTAAACAGCTTAATAATGATTAAAAATTATATTCTTTTAGTACAATACTTTTTTTTTTTTAAATATGCTACAGCATATATCCTTATTATGATTATTATATGAATAGTTTTCTCTCAGAAATTCTTGAATTTTTCTACGTTAAAGAATTTAACATATTATTTTTAGAAATCATAGTGTTTTCTATCTAGTATTGCGTTTTTATGAATATTCAGAGACTAGTTAAATATGACTCTCGGTGCAATCAAGCTCTGATTGGTTTTGGCGCATGCGAAAGAGAAATTAAAAAATAGGCTGCGCTGAAATTATTCTATTGTTTTTTTTTTTTACGGTTGAAACATGTTGCCCTCGCGCAAAATGCCCGCGACGGCCGCGTATATCTCCGAAAACGCATCTCAACGAGCTATTCCGGTTGAGTTTTCATTCGAGGGGCACCTGCGCCCTCGAAATATGTATACATCTGGCACATGCATGCCGCGTGTCGTAGACTTCTCTAATCATGCGTTGCTCGTACGTTTCTGCCTGCGCTGGATATGCGTGTGTTTTGTTGCCCCGCTGTACGCATACGAACGACAGACCATCGTTATTATTTGCCTTCAGCCGGGATGCGTCGCGACTGCACGCAGCACGGAATACAAGTCGCAACGCGTTGTATTACCGTACACCTATCGTCTTTCGCGTTGTTCCTCGCGTACGCACATAAACACGTGTTCTCCGCGCGCGTTTATATGTACGGGGTTGCCCGACGCTGATGTCCCTCGGCCGTGACAGAAATTAATTGCTCGCTCGTATGTGCGGGGTGTCTCATCGCCGCCGGAAAATGTTGCTTCAATAGCGGGCCTTCGACGAACACACCGCATTCATCTCCCCGAATGCGTTTGATGAAGGGTCTAATTAATATTTGACCCGAGCACACACATATAGCGTTCTGCGTACGGCACATATGTCTGCTGACAGCAATATTTTTCGTACGCATCGAACAATTCAAGTGTAATTATTGATAATAAAATTCTGGGGTTTTCGGATAATTTTAATGGAATTTTAATTTGACGGGAATTCGAAAAATATTTGTGATTTAATTATCAAGAAATTTGATTTTCAAAACTGACACATTCTAGCATATGGCGGCTTTCGTCCAACTTTCTCGACGAAGAATTCACTGTTGAATTATTTTCCGATGGCGATGAAGCCTACGAACGCGAGAATTAATTAAATATTTTCAAAAAGAGCTTATTACATAAAACTAATTGCAGATATATTTAAAATTTGTCTTTCTTTTCGCTGTTTCATGAAATTTATCAAACATAAATCTTTATTAAATTATTTTGCCTCGGATATAAATGTAAATAGAGCATTTGATTAACTCAACGTGCATTGATTGCAGAAGAAAGATAAAACTTGTCCGTTTAACAATATTTCGAAATTGCCTCTCGGAATTACTTGCTTTATCGCGATTTCACTTTCGGATCGCGCAACGGATACCGCCTTTTAATGGCTCCTGGCACATCGGAAAGTTTTCCACATTACGTCGAACGAGCGCTATAAAAGTGTTCATAGACGAAAGAAACGATTCTGAAGACCATCGTGGAGGTATTTCTCCGACGGAGGGATCCCGTTCGAGCTCCCGGGCATCTCTTTACGCGTGAGAGACCTAATGAAAAATTCTCTCGCGCCGCCGAAAACTCTTCATCCGCCTTATTACATCGTCGAAGCAGCTGCGCGCAGTAATACGATAACGATAATATGGCGAAAAGTCCATCCGTTGTTGTTACTCGCCGCCGTATCGCGGAGCTATAAATCCGCGCGAAGCAACCCCCGTACTTTCGCGCGCGCCGAGAGATGCCTTTCTCTCTCTTTCTCTCTCTCTCTCGTTTCCATGCACAATTTTCTCGCCCGTGTTTCCCTTTTTCCCGCGTCCGCCAATCCATATACCTCTCTATCTCTCTAAGCTCTCTAACTGTCTGCCTCTTTCTCTCTCTTTCTCTCTTACTCTATATATATATCTTTCGTTCTTTCGCTCTTCTATCTATTTCTTTTTGCTGTTCTGTCACCCTCACACACTCACCCGGGAGACCGTGCACCACGTGGATACGGCTCTCCTTCTCTCTGACCCTTTTTTTCTCTCTCTCTCGCTCTCTCTCTCTTTCTGTTTCTCTCTCTTTCTCTCTCTGTCTCTCTCTGTCTCTCCTCCATCTCGATCCCCCGTCAGTCCGTGGCACAAACCGACGAGTACCAAGAGACACTCTTGTGTCGAGGGCTCTCGCCGGAGAGAAAAGCCGTAACGACGTAACGCTCTTGGGACGTAACAGGGAGAACCGGGTGAACCCGGGCCGCCGGGACCACCCGGTCCGCCAGGATCCGAGGGTCTTCCTGGGCACGAGGGCAGACAGGGGATTCCAGGCGAGGTCGGCGCGCCGGGGGAGAAGGGTCCGCCAGGGCCGATCGGGCCCGTCGGCCCGCCAGGCACGCCAGGACTTGCAGGTCCCAAGGTGAGTCCGAGAGATTAACTTGCGCGACCGCGCTGCATCCGGTTACACACGCGCGCCGCCTTCTTCTTGCGGACGTCGAGGTGTCGAGTGTCGCGTGTTTTCATAGATTCGAAGGGTCGAGCTTCTCTCGGCGCTCCTTTTCTTGACAGGTGTATCGTCACGGAAGGAATAAAAACTGCATTTTTTTCAGAAGAATAGAAATTAGCTATCTAATTGTAGTCCTTTCCTCTAATGTTATTGTTTTAAAAAGTTTGCAAAAAATTTTATTACGATCTGTAAATTTTGTGCAAAATGAGAATTTCTGGACATACGAAGAGAGAAGAGATTAAGCGAGATTGGAATTGCAGTCTGAAAGTAAGAAATATAGAAGAAAATAATTGTTCTTTAATTAAAAATTAAATTGTACCTTAATTGATGAAAAGATCTTCTTCTCTCACTGGTATTAATTAAAAATTCTTGGCCGTTGAATGAATTTGATTATATTAAAGAAAGAAAAATAAAATAAAAAGTATAACGTGTTGAAAACGACAATCACGTGTGAACAAAACATGCGGTAAACAAACCATGTTTACAAGATATAACGTAAATAAATTTTATTTTTAACAGTATGTTTTGCACTACATGGTAATACGTAAAATAAATTGTTCATGTTACCGATCTGTCGATAGGCTCGCCTTTGATTATGCGGAATTTACACTCAACTTTATTTATGTAATTATAAAGCGTGATTTCGCGTATTATTGCGGCCGGCATATTTGAAAATATCAAACGTCTGTGATTTCAAATTCCGCAGGGAGTTGATTTAATATTACGGATGTATCACCGCAGGTAACCACGTTATTGTGGAATTGTATAATGATTGCGGACCGCGCGCTTTCAAGTACGCGCTTTCAAGGTTTAATACAAATCCGACTAATCTCGCGGGATTCGGACCTTGGTTGAATTTCGACAGCGTTTTCAATTTCGCTTGATCAATTATGAATCTTTTAATTTGATTAGTACAAACGTGCAGAGCACTGTCTTTTCCCACGTTGAATTTACCGGATGAACATTTTTTTTTATCAGGTCAAATTAGCTCGTATATGTATAAGTACTCTCGTTGAAGCTGGTGTAAAGTTACACGTATATTATGCACTTAACGCTATGCCTTTGAAAAGGTTACGTAACCGATAATTATTAATGAAGCACAACGCAGAGCGATTACAGAACAATAGAGTATTAATTACGTCCGGCGCATTGTTAATTTAATTCAACTATAATTAATTACATTCGAAAGCACGTTCTTGCACATTAATTACCGACGCTTGATACCGAGGTGATAAAAGACTGTCAGAAGTTATTCATTGGAAAAAGTATTTTCTTAATTAACTTATCATTTACATTGTCGCAAAGAACGAGGTAAGAAAAGAGAAACAAAGTGTTTTATTTTCAGAAAATAATTATCACAACGAAATGCCCTTTGAGAACGCGAGAACATCAAGTTGCGTAATAATTATTCAAATCATTAAAAGTTTATTTTCGACAGGGTGACAGGGGTGATAAAGGCGATCGAGGCTACACGACGACCTTGAAGGGCGAACAGTTTCCGAGCGGAGTATTCGAAGGCCCACCTGGTCCACCAGGACCACCTGGTAAGCATACAAACGAGATAATCTGCATACGTGATATATGATTAAATGTTACACGTCAATTGCATTCCCGCGAGGAATACAAAAGCAGCGTCACGGTAACTCTTTGCAAATTTTTCATGGAAATTATTTGCTTCGTTAAAAATTTATTTCAATCGAATATCGTAATCCTTTAACTGGAAAATCTTTGTGGGCTACGCATCATTAATTTTATTATTCGTAATTACTTTTTATTTTCATAGAAATATTCTATATTAATAATTCTATCGAGATATTTTGTTTAAAATCAACACTTTGTTTTTCATTATTAAATAGTATTAAATGATATTATTTTATAAAATGTTAATTCCGACATGCTATGATCAAGCTCATTGATTTTCCATTCCGATTCTCTCGTGGATAGATTTTTTTTTTTCGGAGCAACGCGATGCGTAATTAAAACGCGATTGAGAAATCATTAATTTTGCGATCCACGAGAGGGGATTAAGTCGGCCGGGTACGATCATTCGGATCGGAACGCAATTGCATTCATCCGTGAATCGATTATCTTCGGCGTGACCTCGAGCGAAGAAAACGCGGAAATGTTTGACGAGGAAATCTTGACTTGAATGATCGTGCAGTTCCTCGAGAGGATCGAGAGAGACGATCGTGCGGTCATGCGGTGGGCGTACACGCGAAGAAGAACGCCTGGCCGTGTGTAGTAATGTATGCGGCCGTGAGCAAATCTTTCTTTACCATTCGCGAGCCTCCTTTTTTTTCTCTATGCAACCTCATCTCGCACGGATCGGCCATTAACCCTTCGAGAGTTGAGCGTCCTCGAGGAGCATTGTCCCAAAAACTTCACTACATTTATGCGCATAACGGCGTGTCGCGAAATTTCATGCGTGACTTGTCGCGGAAAAATTGCACGGAAAATAGAAGAAACATTAAAAAGAAAAGTTAAATTTTTGCAACTGTTGTTTCTACGGTGAAAAAAAAAGTAAAAAATGATCAACGCGCGATGTAATTATATTGAAATATAATTATAATACATGCAGCATTTTATAATCTAAAAATATTTATTATAATTTGAAGGATAAAGCAGTTTTTAACAAGAGTTAAAAGTTTAGAGTTTGGAGAATTTAAAGTACAAATATTTGGTTTTTAATAAGATTAGCTTTTTCGACTTGAGAAATATGAGAAAAACGAATTACTTCCGGGCACAACCGAGAATCTGTAGCCTGAGGGAGTTGTCACGACAATTCCGTGCTACTTTGTGCATAAAAGATTCAACCTTGCTTAAAGTTACACGAGACGAGACATCACGCGCAACACATTTCGTAAATAGTGCAAAGGGTAATAAATGCACAGTCTCGGAGTACGGCATGCGCGGGCGGAAGCTGCAAAGAATATCTAGTTCGCGGAAAAAGACGCGGTCTTAAAAAATTCCGACCCTCACGCGCCAATATCTCACGACTCGGTCGTTCGTCAACGTTCGCACGCCCCCCGCCGCCGCCGCCGCCGCCGTTCCGCGCACCGGCGAGAAAATGATTTACGATCGCGGACGTATTCAGAATCCGATCTCGCGCTACTCGTAAACGACCGTTTACAGCGCGCGCCGTGTTGACCGTGACGACGGATATTGGCAAAAGCGTCGCGGATATTAGTTACTGCCTCGCGACGTGATTGATCCGCGAGAGAAACTCCGTGATTATAATCGAGTGAGAGACTTGTCAAGGTACCGGGGAACGTAGGAAGAGTTTTAAACGCCTACGGAACTTTCAATAACTTAGAGAGATTGTCAGAGTATAATAACTACTCAGAAGATTACGACTAAAACATTACGAAGTTACGGAAATATGGCATATTACATGCTATTTTCAGAGAAAATAAGTTTATCGGATTTAGCCAATGTTGAGTCGCGTAATGGAATTGTAATCACGTAATGAAATAATATTTTTACGGTAAAGCTTTATCTTAATTAAGAGCAAAGTAAAAATGAGGGCCCCTCTTAAAAGGGATTCGGTAAAAAGACCGGCTTAACTTCCCTTCTTCTGGAGATCGTCGGAATTCTAGATGAGGAGCTTTGCGTCGATTCGTCTTCTCGCGTAAGAAAATAATTTAGCATTGATAAGATAGCTGCGTCGATATCTCTGGAGACAATATATTACGAGCACTGCGGGGCCGCGCGACGTATTCGACGGAACAAAATTACGTGAACGCTAATCCGTCTTTATACCGTTGTGCGACGACAGCGGAGAACTAAGGACGGTAACGCCGTTTCCGGGCATTATACATGCGCACCTGACAGAATTAATTTACCCACATACAAATCCGTCTCGCAATTTCACGGCACGAACTACTGCGACGGTGTAGACGCGCGGAAACGCTACTGTCGATACTATGGCAACGTCGTATTTTAGAATCAGCCGCGCGCGTTGTACAGCGAGTATATTTACTTTGCTCGTGTTATCCGCTTACGTGATCCTCAAATTTCCTTTTGTTTGCCCGATATTTTTTGCAGCTGCAAAATTTGCAAATTAATAGTAGAATAACACGCAAAAAAAAAAAAGGAATTTTTCGAAACGTTACAAATTAACGCTATGCTCTATTAATATCTCAAACGCCATTAAATTGACATATGCGCATCACTGTTAAAGAAGATAAATAAATGTAAAATTCAAATGTCGGAAATTTTTACTGTAAAATTACACATATCAATTTTTTTTGAGAAAGGCACTAAAAATGTTATTTCGTTGTTGAAAAGCAAGAGGAAGAAAATATTATGTAAATGTAAAACATTGTTTCTTTAGTCGTGTGAGCGACATTGATCGTTCTCGTTCCGACATGTATCATTTTGTTAGCTGTCAGTTCTATCTGTCAATAAATCGCGTAAGCGCGATAAATCAGAATTTCATTGGTCGAAAACATGTCGGCGATGATTGGAGAGCACACCGCTAGAAAAATGAATTATTAATCCGTGCGACGCTTGACAGGCTACAATTCTAACTCTTAGTCATTCAATCTTGATCGATATCGTCAAATTTAACAAGTTTAAAGTTCCGCATTAATTACGTTTGTCTGCATCCGAATTTACATTTTAACGCGACCGGTTATTTGACTTTCCATCGAGTTCCGTTCTTCTCGCGTAATGCGTTTTTCAAAATTGCCAACCGTTTTCCTCGACATTAACGCGTCGAAATACATTTCCGTAAAGATCGATCACGCGATCCGTCAAACGCCACTTAGCCCCGAACAGGATCCTCGATAAACGCCGCCGATCCCGGAAATTGTCCGCGCGCGGCTCGTTCGCCAACCGCATGCGTGCGAGCGGGCGAACGAGCCGACGTGGCACGCGGGCACCAGGTCTTATCTTATGCACGGCACGCAGGGCCACAGGGCGAGAAGGGAGAACTGGGCCCGACGGGACCGCCCGGCCTGCCCGGCGAGAAGGGTGCTCGGGGAAAACCAGGGAAGAGGGTAAGCTTCAGCGAGGTCCTCCGACCGACCATCGAGACCAAAGTAACTCCGTACGACCGTCCGCCTGTCTATCCGGCCGTCCATTCATCCATCCGCCAATCCCGTTACCCCGTTGATTGAATCCGAACGTACAGGAAGCAGAAAGAAATTAAAAAAAAAACGGAAATAAAAAAAGAAGATGGGGTCCATCCAATCTGTTTCTCGATATCCTGTACTACCCCCTTTCATTGATCCCGTTACATCCCACGTCCCGCATGCTGTGTCGCATGCTTTGCATGCGTAGAAAAACATATCGCGCGCTCCCGCGTCCGTCGATAACCGCATGCCTCTTGATTCGAATGTCACTATCCGGATCTCTTGTGTGAGCAGCATGACGTGATCGTGGCTTTCTTTCGTGTGGACGTAGTTTGTTTTTACACCTGTGTCACAACATGCCTCTCTTCAGTCTATATATGTGGACGAGGGTTTATGGACTCAGCGAGGTCTCTCCAACGCGCGGCGGCCCTAGATTGCCTGATTTGATATTCCTGATTACGTCGCCCTTAATTCCGCGTTTTAATTGGAGTAGCGGATCTCGCGTCGCTCAACGTTTACGTTTCGATTTTATCATATATCGCTTGTTTAGTCATATTTCAATTTTGAGAATACTAATCAATTCTCGGTGTATAGAATTAATCTGGAAATAATCGATGCTCCACTTTCGCAGTTTGACGGATTTCGATTTTTAACATTAAATTATCTTGGCAAATAAACTTCAAATTAAAATTGCATTAAATTTTATTGGAGATTAATTACAGAATACTGCTGCTTAATTTGTCGGTTTTTGCGCCAATGCTTCTTTCAATTCAAAATTTTCTTGTAACTCGATATTCAATCTTTATAACTCGAACGTGATTGATGTCTCAACATTTTACCGTCCAAAAAAAAAAAAACAAAAAACTTTGAATCTCTTGAAGAATTTCCAACAGTTTTAATATATATCCGAGATATAAAATTATCACCGAGAAAGTTATATAATTTAACCGATTGAGAATCTTTCGTCGTATTTCAGTCTCCTCGATCTTTTATTTTTACCGATTAAATAACTCTTCGTGGTCCCGAGGAATAATTTTCTCTCTCTCTCTCTCTCTCTTCTGCGTTAAAATGTCCAATTTCTTTTTGTCCTTTCTCTCCTTTCCGCCTTCTTGGTTTCTTTCGTCCCACTTTCGAGCATCGTCGACATCTCGCGCTTTCCCACGGAATATTAGATTTTGTAATCCCAAGATCTCTGGTCCTGAAAGAAGAAAAAAAAAATAAGCGACTTCGTCGCACTGTGATACGCTTTAGCCGCGCGAGAGGCAGCAGCACGCGCGCCACTCTTCACGCAGTCACGCGAGCATGAGCACGTACATCACGCCGTCACACTTTGCATCGTCGAATAAAGTGCAGTTGAACAGCATCGTCATTCGGACGGCTACGAGCCGAGGAAAGTTCCTTGCCATAAGGCAATCCATAATCGTCGGAAATATTGACGTTCTTGTCGTTTCATATTAATGTGAAGCGATAAACACGCAAATTTTGCTAATTTAATTTAAGAGAAGCGCAAACAAAACTCCTCTATTTACACCAAAAAAGAGCAGATTAAATGCCATTTCAATATTACGATAACTCAATAAAACAATTAATTAATAATTAAAAAAATTTATTATGACAAGAGAATAGTGATGAGAAAAGTGATTTTTGAAGATGATTCTACGTTTAATTGTTTTTTTTTTTATTAAATCTTCCATATAACATAAAAATTAATATATTCGAAAATATTGATTTTAGAATATTTCACATATGGAAGTTATTTACGTTCAATAACGTTACGTTGCAATTGCTACTCTCGTTGCCATTTGATTCACGGGCTCGTATATATTTTTGTATACGATATTTTTCAATGCTTTTTTCCGGAACTTTCCTCGTACGCTTGTATCTGGTCTCGGAATTGCATATGTACCTCGAGCGACTGTTGGGACTCGTTCGTCCCATAAAAAAATAAGAGAAAAACAACAATAAAAAGAAAGAAAAGAAAAAAAGAACAAAATAGCAGACAGGAAAACGGGAAGAGAAAGTAGTTAGAAAAAAAAAAAGAAAAAAACGTTGGTGGCAGCAAATAACACGTACGGATATTGTGGTATTCGAGGCTTCTCCTCGGATCCCCTCTCACCCCTTAACTCTCTCTATCATTTTTTTTACCCTTTATTACCCATCGTATATTCGCGAATGTCGAGACGTCGATCGTCTCCACACACGTACGCAGCACCACCCCGACACCGCGAACCGCAGGCTGTGTGAACCCGGGCTGGCAAAAGCGAGCGAGCGAGCGAGCGAAAGAGCAAGCTGGCAAACAGGGGGTGACGGGCTTAAGCGCTCTCCTTCCGGCCGAATTACACGCCTACACGCCTAACACCCATAACTACTGCGCCTAAGAGCTTGGCGTGCTGCGGCAGTACCACTCTTTCGGGTCCACCGTAAGTATATTCCGTAGATCTGCCGAGCGATCGTAACTCTAGACGGCTAACTGCAAACGGCGACCACGCGCGTATTCCGAGGGGATTTATTTACGATATTAATTCCTTAGCGCTTTGAATGTCGCACTAATATCTATTAATCTTTTTTTTAAATTAATTAAAAACATATATTTGATAATACAGCAGCTAAAAGAAGTTTTTAACACGTATATTCATTAATGAAATTACTAATTGATTTCTTATCGACGATATATACAACTTCCTAAATTTTCATGCCTCACTTAAATTAATGGGATCGTCAGCCTGATTGAAATGTAATTGCAATCATCCAATGGAACATTTAAATCCATTTAAAAATGTAATTCTGTTGGTGAAATTGGTCATTTCTATTTACAAGAAACTTGAATAGAAGCTGAACTGTGATTGCATTTTAATATTTCATTTTTTTCTTAATCACTTTGCATATGGTAGAGAGATAAATATTTAATATTTTCGAATTATTAATTTAAAATTTTGCGTTATTAATAAAAAGAATAAATTTATTGTGATTTAACAAGAAATGTATGATTCTATATGATTAATTAATTATTTTATAATGAACATCAATTTCGATATTTTATATAACAGCTAGAACATATAAAATAAATATTTCCCGAATCAACATATTAGAATTGGAAATTGATGTTGAGAAAACTCTAAAAATTAATGTGTGATAAAAGTTTTTTTACAATATAAATTATAAATTATAAATTGTTTTTATACAACAAATTATCGTTTTATGAAACGGTATTTTTTTCTCTGAAGTTTGATATGTAAATCAACGGTATTAATTTTTAAATACGTCCATTTGATGGATATTAAATGTTCAAATATGTATTCCTTGCCGTAATGTTACAAAGTTCGCTTGTTCATTTTACGCGTTCGTGAAAGTACTCTGTTCCATTTAGAAGCTATTAAATTTTACGCAATTTTGTGTATTTTATTTTCACAGATTTTCATTCAGCTACTTTTTACAACTAATACGTAAAGTTGAGTACTCTTGATGGTAAATTTTATCGCATGTTAAAAACGTGGTAGAATTAAAATTAATAAATAAAACGGGAATATCCGCAAATTTTCTATATTTCTTACGAAAAGTGTAGACACCTAATGCATCGAATAAATAACATTTGATGCATTTTATCGTAAAACAAAAAAATGTTTGATACTGCACGAAATAAAAATTTTTTAAGGAGAATTTACTTAATTAAATGCAGTTGCGATTTGCAGCATTTTCGCGACGATATTTGGAAATAAATTCGCGCTCAATACAGTATTTGCAGAGAACGGAATTAAATGCGAGATATATATATATACGCAATCTTGTAACTCGGCAACGCCGTTGCAAATGCAGTTTCGAGCGCTGAGAATTACCCTTCGGAGCAACTTCGGCGGTTCCGTTGCTCCGAACCGCGACGGTAAACTCGCGGATACACGTGTCCGTGCGCGATACTTACCCCCGACACACCGAACCGTGAAATTCGCCATTCGACCGCGGAGCAAGCTCGCAACTTTGTTTGTCCGCTCGATTTGGCTCTCTAACGAGACGCGGACCCGGGACTTGCCCCGGATGCGCTGCGTGCGTCCCGATTGCAAAGCCGCGGCCAAGTGTACATCTAACTACAGCTAACGTATACAGGGTGCGCTAAATCTATCGAAAAATATTTTAAAGATGAATTTTCTGATAATTTGGAATCGATTTCTGCTCGTAAATATACTTTAGATTGTCAATTTCATTAACTTTTGAGTGAATGTTATTTATTTCCAAGTTTTCTCTTGACAGAACCTTTAACGTTGAGGATTGAAAGCTCGTTGAAATGTGAGTGATTTTCTCCAATATTCTTATCGAGGAAGAATGAAGATTCCAAATTCGCGGAAAGATGCCTAAAATATTTTTTGGTTGTTCCGGACCACCATGTAGGTCTATCACGTTCGCCACTGTCCCTTTTGGGATGATGGGGACGATATCGATCGCTTTTTGACAATGTATGCGTGTGTCTGTGTGTACAGTTAGTCAGTAGTGATCCTCGGCGTAGTGTACGTAGCTTGTGTAACTAATTTGTGTTTATGTAGCGAGTAACACCATCCCACTACTTCTTCCCTGTGTGTCGGTTCGATTCACTAATCACTAATAACCACTCTACCCCCGGCTTGTTGTTGTGTTGAGGCTCTCGCAACCCTATCGACCGGCGATCGCAAGCGCCTGCAGCCTATTGCGTAAGTATTCAAAGTATGTAGCTTACTCTGTCGCGACCACGGCGACTCTCTCACGCTCAATAACTCGCGATATTAATTTTTGTCTATATTTATTTAATACTTTTTTAATACTTTATTTCTGTCTATTCCTTGCCCCACTCTCTCTCTCTCTCTCTCTCTTTCTCTCGCGCGCGGTCTTTCTCAGTCCATTAAAATTATAATTGTTATTTGTATTATGAAGAATATTTAATTTGTCTGTTTGATTTATCTGTATGATTTAATTTGAATCTGTATTGCTTATTAATTAAAATTTTACAAACGCACGTAACAAATTAGTATAAAGTTTCTTGAGTATCAGTAAATAACATTACACGAAATGCATAAATCATTACATTATGCTTTAACGATGCGTTTAAATTGAAAGTTGCTGTTGCACAAAATACACGGAATTGCCAATATGTAATAAATCAAAATTTTATGGGATTTCTATTTTGCGAGCAAGAAAGAAACTTATTAGAAGCGTCCAGTTGGACTGGCTCTACAGGTTGTAATTATGAGGAGAGACTATAAATCACAGACGTTATCGTGAAGCGACGAAAGAGAAAGAGAGATATCGGTAGTCCCTCAATTTTCTACTAAATTTGAACCCACTAACGAATTCTCCCTAGTCGCATAAGTCTTAGTAGTCGTTGTCTACGTTACAGAGTGAATATTAGAAATGTGTTTTCAATTAGAAATGTGTTTAATTGTGTGTAGTGTAAAAAGTAGCTGGACGATCTTGGCGCCGAAACTGTAGCGTGAAAAATATCCGATTCAATATCCATGTGTGCGCAAAATTATTAATTTTACACGCGAACAAATGTGAGGTGCCAAGATCGATCGACATGTTTGACGTAGATCTCGAGGCACCGTCCCCTCCTCCTCTCCCTCCTCTCTGAAAGACGACAGATTAACGCTTCGTCGTAGAAGCAGAAAAAAAAATTGACAGCGCACATGGAGGACCTGGTTGGATCTGACCTTGCAGTGTCATTGTAGGGTTTCAAGGGTGAGAGCGGTGCGGCAGTGGCGAGGGGTGCCCCCGGCCTGTCGGGAACAAAGGGTGAGCCCGGCGAACGGGGTTACCGGGGCGATAAAGGCGCCAAGGGAGACGCGGGTACATCAGGTAGATTACCACGAAAGCCACCCTACCGCGGCGGGCAATCGGCGGGAAAAGCGGCGGATAAGCGCCGAAAAAACGATCCGCCCTCGTTTATTCATGATCAGGAGGACCCGTGGGTCCCTCTTGCGCGCGTTTCTTCGTCCACCGTACCTTCGGCCGCGCCTCTCCCCTTCCCCCCGTGCACCCGTGCGCAAAATCCGAAAATTACGGGGATTCGTTCCGACTTTTTTCAGGACGACGGTCAGCAGTAATAACCACATTTTTCAGAAAATGTTCCGCGATCGATGGTGGTCAATGCTGCTAATTTTTCTTTTTATTTGCTTTTTATTTTACTACTGTTTCTTTTTTTTTTATTTGTTTTTTTTTTTAAGTTGTATCTCGCAAAGATACTCAATATACGATATGAGAAAAATTAACGCGCGCGCGTTAAATTTCTTCCAGAGAAATAGATTATCGTTTAACTCTGCTGCTATATACATTAATGTTTAATCATTCTTGCATAATCATGGAAGAATAGGATCTCCCTAAATTTCATCGTATATCCAAAATATCGTGAAGTTATATTCTGTTTTTCCACTTGATTATGCGAGCATACAGAAAATGATGCGGGTCCGAATGCACGCGGGCGCAAGTTCAATTCAGGATTCCGTGTTTAACTTTCGAAGATATGTAATGGCAAAACGATTCGAAAAGTTCTCTCGCGAAACTTGCAAATGATCCCCGTGTTGGCCCCTGGGGGGGAAAAAATCGTGGCGGCCTTCAAATCCCTTTTGAATATAACACGCCAACTTCGTCTTCCGCGTTTAAAAAGTTTAATCAAAAGTTAATAACGCCGACCGTTCGGCGAGAGAATTTAATATTAATCCGCCTCGTATTGAATTGAAGATTTAATTAAACGCTTACGTTTTCCAAAGAGACCGTCAGATGATCGATATTCATCATCGTTATAATGTTATTGCGCGTTTAGCAACAAACATTAAAGGATTGTCGGCACGACAAGTCTTTTGAACGAATGCTTTTCACAACGTCAATCAAAGGCATCGAAAGGTATTGATATATCGGAGCAATATTTCATTGACTGTCGCTTTGAAAGCGAAATATACTAAGCGTGTCATCAGACGAGATTAATTTGTCAATACAAAGAATGTCGCCCAGACTTTCCGCTCTCAATATACGCGATGAATCCGGCACTTGTTCTAAGTCATCGTGCCCGTCTTTAAGAGGCAAGATAAAGAGAACGCTCCGCGTATTTAAAGATTCTCGATAGTTAGATCGACAATGAAGTGTCTGCGGACCCCCCCGGGTGGAACTATTCTTTCGCGCCGGGCGGGATAAACACGCCGGAAGTATTCCCGGCACGGAGAATCGCCCCGGGGCGAAATGAGAAGTCGAGAGCGAAGAAGAACGACGGAAGGAAGACGAAGGTGGGCAGGGGTGTTTTCTTGCCACGCGCGCGTTTACGGAATTGCGGCGGGCGTCATCGATCGCGTGGGCGTCCGCGCGCGCGAATTAATCTAACTTCGGCGAACCGAGAGTCGAACAAACCGGCGGGCTCACGGCCGGCAAATTCGCTTTCAGGGCCCAAGGGAGAGATGGGACTGCAGGGCTTCCAGGGGCTCAACGGTACCGCCGGCGAACCCGGTATTCAAGGACCTCCTGGATTACCGGTAAGTAGGACGCAAATGAGAAATTTCCCCCCAAAACTCCTCTCACGCCCTTCCCGGGCGTAATATTCGGGAAACGTTTTACACGCCGCGCAAAGATGGCGAGAATTTAATATCCCTTTCGTTATATTGTTGCATAATTTTATTGCTGGTGTATTTTACATTGTGAATATCATTGAATCGAAGAAATGGGAGGAAAAATATTGTAATACGGGAATCAATTTTTATATACGTTACGTGTTATTTCTTAATAACCGAGGATTTCTTTCGATATTGTATGCCTTACATAACTGACACTTGTGTATTTCAATATTATAAAGAGAACAGTAATAAATCGCTTATTATTATGTAAAATTTAGCGAGATTTCCTGGCATTAATGGAAAGATGATATTGCGTATTTTGGAAATCGGTAGTTGAATATCACTATTATTGCTAGATTCATGCGTAATTGAAATATTATAATATTATAAGCGTTATCGAAATTGATCGGAAAAATATAAGCGCATTATCGGGCTCATCGAGCGTAGAAGAACATTCGCAACATATTATACATTACCTTTTCACCGCACGTTGAACTTGTCGTATAATTGACATAATATTACACAAGTATTGTTGCATATAATTAAAATGTGTGCGCAGTATTATGTAACCCACGGAAAAATTGCGGCGGATAAATTTTCAACATTTTACATACGTCGCGCTCACATTTGTCTCTCTTCAGGGAATATCCGGACCCAAAGGTGAAAAAGGTGATTACGGTGACATCGGTCCTCCTGGCCTTATGGGACCTCCGGGTCTACCCGGCCCACCGGTACGTAATTGCCCCTAAAGCCACGGCTCCAATGACCCCTCTTATCGTAAATATTCCGTCTTATGCGATTTTGCCTGTCGACAGGGCTATCCTGGACTGAAAGGCGAGAAAGGAGAGAAAGGCGAATCGGTGAGTGCGTCTTTCAATGCTGTTTACGATTATTTTAATAGTATTCTATAAAATAAGGAATAATAGATGGATACAAGAAAGTGTTTATAGAGAGAATCATATAATTGAAATAATAAAAGAATATTATAAAGAGGAATTTTATACATAGAATTTAACATTATTTAATTTTCTTAATTAATTTTTAATTATTTTTTTTATTATAATCTTGAGCGCACCTTTAATATCACGTTGGATAACGAGCCGCGTATGCAATAACCGTAGAAAATATGATCTCATCGAAGCAATGTCGCGGAAATTAATTTTACTGAGGATCGAATAAATTCAAACCGGCTTTTATATTATCGAAGAATAATACGTCTAGTATATCTCTAACGTTATATCTTTTATGAACGATGATTCGATGAACGCAGTTGCCGGAATTTCGCGATCGAAGCCGCTGTATCATCTCTTATATCGTATTTTATCGTCACAGCAAGCTGCACGCGATCGATCGCGATAGTACGAAATTGCGGTCCCGACGCGGACATATGTCAAACAGAATCTAACGATAAAATAAATCTCTTTTCATGGCGGGACATCGGCCTTCCATCCACAGAAGTACAAAAAGCTCAGACGAAGACAGGTACGTGAAAGTTTGTATTTCCGATATCAAATCTTTGCGCTTATCAGCTCGATCGCGTGATGAAAGAATCGCCCGATCGAGAAAAGAATGCGCGTAGAAGGGTCGTTTTAATGCGGCCCACGAAATGTATGTAACATGATATTAGCGCACGTGTGAACATATCGTATGCGTATTTGTTCGCAGGGAGACGGCACGTTCGAGATGAACGCCGGGGAAGTGGTAAGTTATCTCACGAACGCGCAATCTCACGCTTACATCTGCAACTAGCAGATGTAAGCATGAGATACACGCGATACTCGGGGAAATATTCGATACGTAAAAAAAATATGGAGAACAATAGCTTTCGTGTTTCCCGTTTGAACGGATTTTAAATTTGCAGTTCGTGTTGCTACATCGACTTTACGCTTTGTTATAGTCGCGTTTTATGAAGTTATGTAACCCTTTTGCGATTTATAGCGATTATAAAGCAATTCGCTCGGAGCTATACAAATTGTAAAACGAAATCTATTTTTCTATATTTTCCGGTTTCACAGTACATTTAGTCGAATAAAAAATTTTTTTTTTAAATAAAAACTACACGTGTAACGTTTAGTAATTATAATCATTTAATGAAACGAATGCAAAGATGATAGAATTCAAAGTTAATTCGCCGCGGAGATGCTTCTTTTTTCAAGGAGCGTTCGTGTAATTATTTTTGACATTTTCGTTCTATTATTCGTGCATAGATAATGGGCCCGCCAGGACCTCCAGGACCCGCTGGTACTCCCGGACTGCAGGGTCCGCCCGGGATAAAGGGTGACAGAGGACACGACGGCGCCAAGGGCGATCCTGTCAGTAACTATTATCTATTTGTTGATCGCGTACCGTATGAAATATAAAAACGCAGTTACGCGGCTCGTACTCACGCAATGGAAAACGAATGTTGATTTCTCTCTCGGGGACTGCAAACATTGAATAACAGAATCGATCTGTTTGCGTCGCTATTTCGCGCACGGGACCGTTTCGAAAACTTTTTACTTCCGCATCTTTATATCTTTGTCATATTATTAATGATGTTGAGGGGAAAAAACGCAGCCGCATATTACTGTGCAAACTCGGTTATATAATATAAGCGCGATAATAAACAGCACTATTTTTTTTACGTTATTAGTTTACCCCGTACGCTGCAGTAAACAAAAATAAAAATAACAGCATGGTTAAACAACGGTATAGAAAAAATTCGTTCTTTTTGATATTTCAAATTCTTTTATATTTTTCCGATGCCAGCTGTGGATATGATTGAAAGCTGGAAATAATTAATTGTAGGAGGCTCCCTTTGTTTAATTACGAAATAAGCCGAGAAAGGAAGCGGCGGATGATTGTAGACGTGCGTTGTCATTTGAGAACCCTTCGCGAAGAAAGATCGCGTTCGCGATGTGACTCTCGAGGCGTGAAGCTATTCATGTCGGTGATCTTTGAGACCGCCTTTTTGCGTGCGCGACACCGTCGCGATGCAGGCAAGCCCGTTCTCACGCGTCGCTCTCTCTTTTTTCACGTTGCAGGGAGAAAAGGGTGCCAAAGGGGATCCTGGTCCGATGGGACTGCCCGTACGTATTTTCTCTCCAGATTACACACACACACACGCGCGCACGAATATACACGCACACACGTGTAGCCTTAAGCACGCTCTAGAACGCGAAGACAGACGAGACGTGAACGAGCGAACACTTCCGGACGTTCTCGGAAAGAAGGTCCTGCACCTTGCCTTCGCTTTCCCCGCAAAATTCGCGATCCGAAAATTTCAATGTCGTCGTAGTTGTTGTCATCCTTTTCGGTCCTGACGCTTATTCGATTAATTTAATACAATTGGAAATTTCTCAGTGCACTTTGTAATAGATCTATCATTTTCAATACATTTTCAGAAGAATCACATTCTTTATAAAATTGTCTCTTGCGAAAGTAAAAAATTGAGGACCAAAAGGATAGAATATCTTAGCACGTGATATAATTAACGAATTGGACTTTATCGGCAGAACAAAGTACACGGGAAAGAAAGACGAGAAGAGAGGTGTGCGCAATGTATGGAAGGTATACACATATCTCTGCATGATAAAACAATTACAAAATACGTAGAGCTGCATTTACCGTTCTCTCCGAACGACGGGGTCCGCGCTTCGACCACCTCGCCTTGCGAGCGCGCGAGACCCGAATGCGGGAATCGCGCGTCGGAAGTCGGCGGCGAGACGTGCTGATGAGCGTTCTGTCTATCTACTTTCAGGGGCCCATGGGACTGAGAGGAGAGTCCGGAAAGCCCGGGGATTCCGGGAAACCTGGCGCCACGGTAAGAACGCGGATCTCCCGCTCCTAACGTCATCGTTACTTGGCGCCGCCGCCGCCGCCACCGCGGAATTCGCTGATAAGCCGATAAGTGCGTTTATATTGTCGCGCGGCAGCCAGTCGCAGCAAGCGCGGCCTGACGAGCGCCTCTCGATCGCCCCTCGAGCACTTGTCTCTGCGTGTTTTGCGTGTACATACGATTACGAGGGAAACGTGAGGAAAGGAGAACCGGTCGTCGCATCGCCGAGAGAGGGGCGACTCGAGAGGAGGCGAGCGGACGCGTAAGATATTTAGCGCGAAGACGGTCGCTTCCGCCGCGATTTATCGTTAATGAATTTAAAACGCGCGATCACGAAGCGTTGAGATTTGGCTGCTGGACACCCCGCGGATTCTGCGATCCCCCTCGAAGCGGATTTCGTCGATCGATCTCCCGCCAGCGAGGGAGATCGCTGTAACGTGAAATTGAACGTTAAGGTGTTTTAATGCGCGAGCGTCTCAACGTCCATGTTCTCCGGAATCGAGGCTCGATTTCTTCGATGCAGCGGAACGCGCGTATATATTCCCTTTCGGAAAGTTGTATGTATACGTCGTCGTACGTCAATCGTGTCTCCTCGGAAGAGCGCCGTATACCTTGTCTGCTCCGAAAGAATGCGCTTCGACGTCGAGGAACGCGGGTCCTCAACATCGACGATGTTTGTTCGCGCGCGCGCGCGCGATTCGTCATCACTCGACGACGAAGCGCAGAGGTCGGATAGAAATTCACAGGCGCGGAAACGAGTCGAGTGATCTGTCGCGTCGACGCCTAACGTTGAAGATTACAGGAACGCGGAAGGAACGTCTTCCAGGGTGTTAAAATTCTTCGAGGTTGGTCATCAAATCATGCTAATTGGCAATATCGATGCAATAAAGCTACACATGGCTGCCCATTGACCATTTAAGGATATTTTAGCAGATTTCTCTTTTGACGAATTCAGAGACTTTTCGACACGAAACATCTCCGAAATTATCGATTGAAAAAATTGCGATTAAAATTCGTCAAAAAAAAAGTCACCCCTAAATTATCTCTTCATAGATCTAAGGCATCCAGTATATTCGACGTATGCCACGTATACCGGAGCCGTTTATTTTGCAAGAAACTTAGACCAGATTTGACAAAATAACGAATTTAAACATTATTGTCCGAGAAGAAGAAAAAGATCGCGAGGCCACGCGATCTATCTTAAATGAGATCTCCGCGATTTGGTTTACGCTTTCAAAGTGAACTGCTCGCTCGGTCGATGCGTGTAACTCGCGCACGATCGCATCATCGCCATCCGTCCTCTTGACTTACTCTACGTGTCGGCTGATAATCAGCTGCCCGCGCCGGCCGAGAATAGGCAATCTCGATCGTGGAGTTTGGTGGGATCTGGGAAGGAGAAATTTTCGCCGTCCCACTAAATTTTGTATCGTCAGCGTGCACGGGAAAGCAAACGGATTCCATTCTCACCGGAGGAGTCTTGTTAGTGTAAGCATGTGAGAAAGCTTCTCGATCTTATCGAATAAAACGTGAAGACAGCCGCTTTGGTCGTCGCACTATTCGCAGCGTATCAGAGTAGAGTTTCACGAATTTCATCGCGAATCGCGCATATAAATATTTACCAAGTGTTGGTAAAAATTGCGTGCTAATTGCGCGATATTTTATTCTCGTATTCTACAGATTTACAAACAAATGCTTTCAAGATTGTTTTCCTTTTTTTTTTAATTGGAATTAAATTTTGATTAAAAATAAAATGTTATCGAAATAATAAATTAAATATTAAATGAAGGCGCGTAATTGCACTGATCAAGAAACGCGCAGCAAGAATTGAAGGTTTAATTTTCGTTTAAAGTAATTTGACGGGCCTCGAGAAACAATTTTCAGCCTGTCTCTTGTCTGGCAAAATCCACTTTTCCGTTGTGCCTCTCCTGAGAATAATTCAGTCGGCTTGTACTTAACGAAAGCTCGCTCTTCGCAGCATCGCCGGCACCTAATAATAACCCAGCCATTTATCATGATTCCTCTTCGTTCTACATTTCTTCATAGCATTCCAGTCGCATTTCGCGAACCATCAAGAATTCCGTACGGTTACGTCGGGAAATTCTGTCAGATATACTAATGAGACAAAAGGGGAATAAAATTAAGATCCCTGATTGCTGCAATCGCGTTAAATTCCGGCGTCAGAAGCGAGAAGTCGGACGTAATTTTTTTCCCTTGCGGTATAAATCGGAGTGAATAAAAACTAATTTGTGTCGCAATAAAAAGATTTCCACGATTGCTCGTCTGCTGGCGTCGATGCGACTTCTCTCCATCAGGAGGGAAACGACGATAATGTCTTCTCATCTTCGCTGCTCGATCTGGATCGCAGTAAGAGGGGAGAGAAAAACGCGTCGGTTAATAATTAAATTCGCTAAAAGCGGCTTTTCTCTCGCGCAGAACAGCTGGATGCGTTTTAAATCATCGCTCAGCGCTTGCATAAAGCTTGCATAAAGAAGCAGCAGTAGCAGCAGCAACCGCCGAGGCGTGGCGAGAGAGAACGGTGGCGAGAAAGACCGGTGTATTCGCCCGCTTACATTCGACGGGACCTCCTTTTACGAGAGTCATGGGAAACGTCGGTGAGATATCGGGCGTGAGCATCGGTCGCGGCGAAATTTCGCGCGTTCACCGAACAGTAGTAAAACCGTTTACGTGGCCGGCCGCCGCGAATAGCAAGTAGGAGGAATACCCGTCTCTTTCTCTCTCCGTCTGCTTTCGGCTTTTCCGCCGCTATCCCGTCGGGTACACTAACGCGCTATTTCGATAGCCCGCGATATTTTCCTGCAGAACTCTAACATAGAATTTGAGAATCACGAGTGTGTGGCGTTTTTGTTGTCGTTCGTTAACGAAGTCAGCGTGACATTTTCATCGGCGATTAATCGACCGACAATGAGTGTGATTTAATAATGTACATGTAATTACAAACGCGACTCGACGTTTACGATAAATCCATATTTTCGACGAGCGTTTCTCGGCGATAGAATTTAACAAAATTGAAGTCAATCAAGCTTGTCGTTTTGCAAAAGCGTTTTGCAAATGCTGGAAAATCCGGAAGGATCTTGATTACCTCGAATCGATCCGTATAATACGTGTAAGATGTAATTACTGGTGGGTAATCATTTGGCCTAAGAAGGATCCGAAGTACAACGAGATGCCGATAATGAAGTGTCTTCAAAGGCGATCTCAATCTCTAGGAAAATATTGAAGATACTAATTCCCTGCGGAAACAGGCGACCGGTGTGTACCTGATCGCGCGGAAATTGATTTGAATAACTCAAGACTTTCCTTTGCAGTTTTAAAGCTCGAGCCAGCAAGTCGTGTGCATTTTTACGTGTAAATTTTTCATCGTAACAATTTTTATTAAACGCTGAGTGTTTACTTCCAAAAATTTTAATGCTTGTAAACGTATACCGTTGCAGTCTTAAATTACATTTTCGAATATGTACCAAACAGTAGTGTTAGTCGTTTAGATCAACTTCCGATCGATTTACGCATTACCCTCGATATTTAAACTGGCCGAAGTGAAAGACGAAAGACAGGAAAGAAGGACACGCGGGAACGTAGAATAGCGACGGCGACGCTCGACGCCGTCACAATCGATGTATCGGACTACGCTAACATCTTATTCCTGTGTACACCCTCGAAACAATAAATTAACGCAGATGTAGTCTTAAGAGGATAACTGGACGAGAGAGCGTGAGAGAGCGGAGTAAAGCTCCGAGCGTCAACACAACGCCGACGGCTCTACTCGGTGGCAATTCTCCTGTGCGTGTAAAATGTACGACGCCTACATATACATATGGATACACACAACACACACACACACATACGTATACAGACGCTCATACACACATAGCCACATACATACACACATACATATGAAGAAAAGAAACGTATGCGTGGCGAGAAACGTGAAGTGCAGTCGCGTTGATGCGTAAAACGAGATATGTATATAAATATACGGGGTGTGTTTCTCGAAAATATCGTATCGAACGAGTAGTAAGGGTTTCTTCAGGGCGCCAGAACAAACTTCTCCCCGTTATTAGATATACCTTCGCTCGCGCGTGTATCTCGTCACTTTTGATATTGGCGAAAACCGTTGAGCGTAAAGTTGACACGGAAACGTCTGGCAGTTATCGATTCCCGCGACACAAGAATTATTTTAATACCGTTTCGCGACACGGCTCCCGAAATTTCTCCACTGAAATTTCACTCGATGGGCGAGAGAGTGTCCATTGGGAGAAACGTTCGTTCTAGCGCCCCGCGGAAAGGATCGCGAAAAGCTTCTCGACGAAACTCGGGGAACGTCCTGTATACCAATTTGTATGTGTATGTCTGTAAATGTAAGTACAAGTAAGAAATGCATATATACACACGTACCTGCGTGACCGTACGCGGGTATGTACACACGGGCTGTCCACGCCGTGTCGAAAGCCCTTTTTGCTGCGGATTCGTTGACGAATCTAGAATCGACTCTACTTTTTCTTTTTTTTTTTTTTTCTTCCTTTCTTCTCGACAAACATTAGACGGAATCTAATTACGGAAGTTTCTCGACGTCTGAGTAAAGGGTTTTCCCGAATTAATCTTAAGAGTGTAAATAGCAACGGCTAATTTTTTTGCAGCTAATTTCTAATGAGTTTTGCTTTTGGATGAAGATGTAATTTAAACTTTATCTGCCAAATATTTGATCAAATTTCCGCTCGGCAAAGGTCGATTGCGAGTTCGCGAAGGAATCCATAACGCGGAGGAATGCTCGGTAGTCATAAGGGACGACACTCTGTGTGCACATATATGTATATACATATGTATATATATATGTATATATATATATTTACACACGCGAATCCCAGGCGTGTGTGTGCGTGCGTTTAATTGTTAAGGCGGCGCTCCTCTTAAGCCGATCAACCTTAAGGCGACCTAATTGAATGCGTATGTGAATACTGAAACTCTAACAAACAGTTTTGTTTTACATTGTCCCGATTAATAAACAGAATGTGCATGTGCCTGTGTCCTTTGCTTCTAAACTGCCTACCAGTTTATTAATGCTTTCACACGAGTAATCCAGTAACATTATTACCGCTTCTTTTTGCATTGTGCTCCGACTGTTTTTTGCGATCCGGTTATCGGACAACGACTCTGCTCACTTTCGTTACTCTATCTTTCTTTTATATTTTTGCATCCGTCGTGCAAGTTGCAAGGCAATGGAAAAAAAAAGACAAAAAGATTAAAGGCGAAAGGAAAAGGACAACGATAAATTAACACGTGTTAATTTGCTGCGACCACGACGGTGGCGTTAATCGTCGGATCGTTCAGGCCGGCGATTAATCTTGCTACCTTAAAGATAAGATCGAAAAAAAAAGGAAAAACAAAAAGGATGAATACAAAGACGCGACAAGCGTCGACGCTTCGGTACGAAGCACGCTTGGATTTTTTTTTTCTTTCAACTTTGCTCAAGCTCCTGCTCTGCCTTCCACGACGCCGCCCGCCCTCGATTGTCAGTCTGCCTCAGTCCTTGGGATTAATTTCGATAATACGAGAGGGGGAGCGGGGATTATCCCGCGAAGAGGGGTCGAAGATGGGAATTTCGGGAGTTTAAAATGTCGGAAAAGCGAGAAGCTCGCAGCTAAACGAATCTAATTCATTATTGCGCCGCGAGGAAGAAATGTTTGCACACCGTTTTTAAGGCTGAAAGTAGCGCAAAGCGGCTCTCCAATTTTGTAGATGATATATAAATCTCCGCTGTGTTATATACCTCAAATATTTACAGAGGATGGGATATTCGTCGTAACGCGCCGAGAGTGCAGAATCCAATAGAACGCAATTTCGTTACAACGAGTCGAATCGATCGAATATCCCCGGCCAATATCTGCGCCGGCACATCAAGCGCGATATAGCGAAACTATAACTTAATTTGAAAATCCGAGCGGGCGGGAGAGAGCGAGAGTTTCGAAACTTGGACCGCGGCACGCGGGGAGGAAGTTGCGAAGTATAACGCGATCGAGAGTTGCGGCTGTATTTACGTAGCGAAACAGAGCGGCGCGCGCGCTGTGCAAATATTCCTCCTCGTATAAGCGGCGCATTTTTGCGCTCTTTGACGCGCGTGCACACGCGAATCGATCAATCGTGAGAATTAACGAGGACGATCCTGAAACACTCGAGGGCGCAACGACGGCGCTGAAAGGGCGTCTCTAATAATAAAGATCCCTCCGCGGACATTTAGCTTTTAAGTCGCTGTCGACAATATATTGCTCGCTCGATATTATCGATGGGCTACGCCGTGTCTGTATCTGACGAAGGTTTCCTCTACCTTTCAGGGACCACCAGGATTAGACGGCATGAAGGTGAGCGATCCACGGGATGACCCCGTTTTCACTCTGTAAATTATCTCCTCCTTATTCGGACGCGCTCTATTTCCGTTTGCGTCGCATATTATCATGGTGCTTCTTTTCGATTCTCGCGTTCCGAAAATGCAATCGTTCGGAATTTGATCCGAGTTCAATAGAAAAGCGTGCGTGCACGCGGTTTTCTTCCTTCCTCTTTCGATGTACAGCGAGTCGAGTGCCGAACGACCGTCAAGTTTCTTCGTACTTTCAGGGCGCGCAGGGCGACCCAGGAACGAAGGGCGAAAGGGGAGATCCGGGATTGCCTGTAAGTCCTATGCTTCATCAAGTATTTATCCGCCGTCGAATCCGATCCGCCTAACACGCGATATCGTCCGTGCTGTTCGTGTTTATCGAGAAACGCTCTCGGATATCTCGGAGATTTACCGATGTTATCCCGAGGCGATCTTGTCCGTCGCCGGAAAAATAATTTTCCGGTTTAGTGGTTTTCGGCTTTCCTCGCACACAACGCGCGCTCTCAACAACCATCTCGAGGACAGATTTTTTTTTACGTTTTTGTTTAAATTAATAACTTCTCCCGTGATGAGTTCCTTAACGAGTCGGAGAGTCTTGGAAGTAAAGAATTTCGGCTGAAACAAAATCCGGCGGGTAATGAAATTTCGAGAATCCGCTTCCTTCTCTCCGCGATCAAATTTCAATTTCAAATCTGTCGATCGCCGTCTCTACGATTCTATTTTCCGTCGCCGGCGATCTCTCCGCTTCTCGAAAATCGCCGCTACGGACTCGTACCGAAATCGAGTCATGCCCGTGGAACGCGTCAAGTCAGCCCGCTGACTCGATTACATCGCGCGCCCGACGTCGTCGAGAGAGACACGCTAACGAGACGATCTGTGTTTGTCCCCAGGGTACCGACGGGATTCCCGGCGCGGAGGTACAGTTGGCTTTCGATTATCGCTCGTCCTCCGGCGCGACTGCGATACAGTCCGACACGGTCTGACCAGCCCGGGGTAACGACGACACATTCTGCCTGATCTACCCCGGGGACTGTCTCGAAAGAAAAAAAAAAAAGAAAACCTTTTTTCATCTCCTCCGTCCGATTTCAAAGAGAACGGAGCAGCGTCTTGCGCCTTTCTCCCTCTTTCGTTCGAAATCCATTCTCGCAAAATTGTTTTTTTCGTGTATCAATTCTAAAGAGAAAGAAAGAAAGAAACGTCTCAATGCGAGCATTTTAAAACGAAATTTGGAATGGTCAATCTTGAACAATTTTTTTAAATTGTTCACTCATGATGATAATCTGATTGGATCGCCACGTGATTAATTGCGTTTCAATTTTGTCATTTAATAAATACGTCCACCTACAGTAACGTTTGGCATTTTGCAAAAAAGAAAAAGAATTATTTTTTTGCAAAATACCGCGTTATCAGGTGTGACCGATTTTTAAGGCCGGGGTAAGATTCCCACGCGACTCCTTCGGCATATAATCACGTGGAGGAGAGGGTCGCCCGATCAAAATTTATGGCCGAATTATAACGGAGGGGGAAACGCGCAGCTCCCTCGTGCTTCTCTCTGGAGTGTCCGGAAGGATGCTCGAGCAGTGCTCGTGTGACCGCTCGATGCGCACCAATGCGAGAGCGTATAAATGAAACGACTCTCTCGCGTGTACTCTCAAATGCGCAGGAAGGTATTCGAAGAAGGATAATCCCTTTCACCTCTCGACGTGCGATAACTATATTTCGGACCACAGCGCGATATTTCTTCCTTAGTCTCTTAAGACCGCAGCGTTATTTTTTCTCACTTTAGGAGCAGAAGAATTATCTAAATGGGAAATATTTTTTCATACTTCTTTCTAACAAGTTGCATCATTAATATTATAATTGCCGCGCGCACATTTAACGGCGTATTCATATTTTTCTTTCAAGCTTGCAATGTTGAAAATATGAATATTTAATGCTTTTAATGTAATGCTTCCGCGAAAGATAATTGCGCCTAATTGCTCAAAAGGCTGCGATACTGGATTTAAAACGGAGATATCTCTCTCTCTCTCTCTCGTGACGCTGCCGCTTTATTGACATCGGATGCATTCACGGTTTATTGACATCTCTCGTATCTCTCTTCGGAGGCAAGAGCAATAACCAAGTGATCCACTCGAAATGCCGTGCCGTGGTTCCGGCCGCGAATCGATAGCCCCCTCGGTAGTTGACGGCGGCGGCTTTTCCGCCGCCGCCGTCGCCGCCGCCGCCGCTCTCTGATCGATATACAACATCGTGGTCACACGCGGCACACCGCCTGCCTCGAGCCACCTTTCGCTGGAAAACGCTTTCTGGAACGACCGTGCGTCCCGCGCGCGCAAAACGACGGCCAACGTTTACCGAATAAATTCCTTTTGACCCGTGTTCACCAATTCCAGGGACCGAAGGGAGAGAAAGGTGCCAAAGGCGAATCTGTGAGTATTGACTTAAAATTCGAGTAATTCACGTTTTCTTTCACGACGCGCCAAGCTCCACCGCGACAAGCCGGTCGAGAGCGAACCACATTTTATATATATATATAAATATACGTATCACCTCTGCCCACCGTCCTCTTCGCGGGGATGCGAAAGCGATATCGAGCGTGATTAGATGCTTGCGCGGAGATTGTTTGCCGTACGATAACCGGCAGACCGCGAGAGCACTGTCGGGCATGCGAGACTCGCTTCCTATTACGGATATAATTATACGCGTTCTGGCGAGTTGCCGAGGCTCTTTGCGCACGCCGGGGCGTTTAGAGCCTCGATTAGTTTACCTTATTGCGGAATCATCAATCCGAGAAATCGGATCGACGATGTGCTGCCGAAATTAATTATCGTCGTTAAACTCTGCAACGTTGAGACTTAATTAACTCGAGTCGATGCCGTTAAGCAGCACGTTGCGTTGGAACGGTGCGAAGACTTGACGGGGCGACTTCAAACTGCCAAATTTCATTGCTGTTTACGCAATCGAATCACGCGCTCGCAGTTCACTCTTTCGCATTCCCGTACTTATTTTTTTTTTTTTTTTGCAATTATTGCTGCAAGCACGTCGGAGACTCCTTCGTGCCGCCGACGTCGTCGTCGTTAACGACGAGGAGACTTCGAGATCTCGCAGAACGACGAGCTACAGGGTCACGAAAAATAGCGGAAAAAGCTTGTAGAAACACGAGGAGAACATCCTTACGTATACACGTCCGCTCCCACCAAGTTCCGCACGGTTCCTCGCGAGACTAACACACTTTGCGCGTCTTGTATAAAATTTGTATATATATATATATGCTGCCACCACCGTGCCGTGAAAGCGCATTATCACGAGGCGCGAGTAATGTTAGAAGAGACATTAGACGCTCGAGGAACGACGCGCCGAGGAGAGCGTTGGTCGCGCATTTTTTCACTGAGAAATCATTTCAACGACACGTTTTCGACGACAGTGAAAAAGTCGTGCCGGCGATATAATTGCGCTCGGTCGTCTCAGAAGGCACGCTCGGCCGAGCCTCGTCGTAATTAAAATCCGTTAATTAAACCTGCGACACGCGCTCCCCTTCGCGCTCGTCGAGGTATTGTGCACCGATCGATCAAGTATTATAATTGCATAATCCAACAATATTGTGCCTGGCCTTTACTTGCACGTCGCGAAACTTGCATCGGGCGTTTCGCGCGGTGTCAGTTGGGATGATGCATTTCGCGTGTGCGCGCAGGGCCCGCCGGGTAAACGCGGCAGAAAAGGCGACAAAGGCAACAAGGGGGATCAAGGTGTACCAGGACTCGACGCGCCGTGTCCGCTGGGACCGGACGGACTTCCTCTGCCGGGCTGCGGCTGGAGGCCACCGCAGGTAAACCGATAGCTTTATTTTGTTTCGGAGTTTGCGGACAGCAAAGATTCGAGGGATAGGAGTTACATCGCGCGTACGTAGTCGCGCACGAATTATCTTGCAATATTCGATCGAGAGATGTAAAATAGAGATACTGCAAATTCTTTGCCAATATTTCAGATCGCAATGATGTCCGATCGATAGTAATTTATCAATCGACTTTATACGAAATACAATATCAATTTGCTTTCATAATTGTCTAAGAATTCTGTTGTATTGTTTCGCCGATTATCTCGCGATACAATAAAAAAAAAAAAAAAAA